TTCCCTACAATTGGCTAAAATGTCAAAATCAAAAATAGTTCTAATTAGAAATGGGACTTGGGGTGGGGGCAGTGGAGTTGGGGTGGGGGCAGTAGGTCCGTCTTAAGTCTGATCCCTTTCCATAATTGTAGTGGCTTTAAAAAAGCCACTAAATTCCATTGGGCATTTTCTGGTGAAGCATTGAATCAGATCTGCTTTTGTGAGAACTAGGTGATAAATTACTTTCCTTGTTGCTGCTTTGGGTAGGAACATGGATAGTCCCGTTCCATATAAATCTGAAAAAAACAAATGTGTGGTATGGGCATGCTTCGTTCCGTGGAGCTACATATGGTATGAGCTTGAGTGCTGTGCATTAACTGTACTGTGATCAGGCCTGAGACAGAGAACCCGCTGGTTTTCCCCAGTGCTTAATGCTTTGAGCCTGTGCTTGAACCAAGCATCATTGGGGGGGACAACGACAGGGGAAAGGAAGACATTTTCATTCTATATGTACATAATCAAAACAGTCAGCCCAGAAGAACACTTATTACAAGACAAATAGGCCTTTAACCATGTACCTAAAATGAAAACAAATGGGTTTATATGTAAACTTTTGTAACAGTACTGAGAAACTCTTGTTGTCAGCACTAGGTGCCTGTAATATTTAATAGGACTACGTGCTTCCCAGACATGATTTTTATATAAGACACCGTCAACCCTCAGTTATTTTTTCTTATTAGTGTAAGAATTAGAAAGTATATCCAAATAAGAGGTGTTTTCTAAAATGTTGGAGAAAACAGAAGCGAATAGAACTGCAGTGAATGGTTTTGTGGGTATTTTAAAGCCTATTCTTGATCTCCCTTGTGTCAGAAGAATGCTGCTAAAAAAATGTAAAAAAAGAAATTTGGATCTTATTGCCGGAACTCAGTATCTGCTAGAGAAGTAACACTATGAATTTATCCTGTAGAATCCTTTAATGATTTTCACATGAGAAAAGAAAAAATGTTAGATGGACCATTAATCTGCCTTGATACCACAGTCCTTATGATAAGATACATGGTTTGGCATACATATAATTTACTAAATATTTCTTTTTATTTTTTCTTTAAAGAATGGAGCAGATGATGTGAAGAGACATCGATGGTTCAGGTCTATAGATTGGGACGCTGTACCTCAAGGGAGACTAAAGGTATATTGTGCAAAATACTGTACAGGACATTGCAACAAGAAATTGTTGTTCATTTAAGCGGATCTGTTGAGGTTTTGTTGCCTGTTGCAAGTGTGTGTTCATATGTATGTATGAGCATGTGTGTATATGCACACATCAATAATTACATGCATTTTTACCCTTTTACAGTGCAGGATTAGTTATATTATCTACTTGCACTCCTATCTATATACGAAGTGTCTAAACAAAGAAATTCCTTTTTTTGCTGAAGTTAATTAGTTAATAAAACATTTAATTTTCAATTTTAGGGTCTTGTAAGTAACTACTTGTTGTAGGTATTTTTTTGTCTGGGGGGATGGTGGGGGATTGGTGGTTTGGTGGTTTGGTTTTTTTTTTTCTTTCTTCCCCCTTGCCCTTATATCTGTGGAAGAATTTTACTCTGGGCTTTAAATTTTTGTGCCAAGTTCAATTCGGGTAAACGCTTTAATAAAGTGTAAAGCATATGGGAGTAGGTGGGATAAGGAAGGTGAGAGAGAAGGATTTATGACGTAATTCTAACATACTTTTTAACAGCACTGAATTCTAGTATTGTGTGGGGGCAGATGTTTGCAAAAGCTATCAACAGTGCAAAATGCTTTTTAAAGGCCTTTGGAAGTAAAACTGCCTTCCTTATTTCCTGTTTCAAAGTTCTAACTCGTACAGTTTCAGCAATGATTTTCAGTAACATAGGTTGCCATATGCAGTCAATCAAGTACTAATTAAATGTTTGGTTTTCCTTTTCTTTGCATTAGTTTCTTACAATGAATTTCTGGCTAGGTATCTTAAATTGAGTTCTTGCAAAATAGATAAGAGATGAAAATATTCTTGATGTGTTCTTGTAGACAACATCCTAATACAAAGCTGTAGTGACTTTTTTCTTTAAAAAAAAAAGTTTATATTGCTTTAAATGTGTGGGTTTTGGTGGTGTGGTTTTTTTGAGGATTACTACGCTCAGTTGACATTTTATATAGATCTATTATAATGAAGTCACATTTTTCAAATTATTTGCTGTAAATTCTGGTCACATAAATCCACAAAGAACAGAAACTGAATGGTAACATGTTTTATAAATATTTCAACTCCTGAAGTTTATGACAACCTACTGTATTACCAAATAAATAACAAACAAATAGTATTAAAAACTGAATGTTAGAGATACAAATCAAAAGTCCTAGGTCCAAACATCCTTTGTGTTGCATTTTTATTTATAAAACAAAAAAGTCGTCATAGCATTCAGATTATTATGAATCCAAAACTTGTTTCTTAATTTTTGTGTTGGATACGTTAAGCTCTTAGAAGACAAGATGCTGCTTAATTATGCAAGGATATGAATTGGGTCAGAAATTTACATTGTTATTTCTAGAGGCAGACATATACTTCAGAATTAGTTTTCACAATCTCGCTCTTTCATACTGATTAATAAATACAAAAAATATAAAATAATGGATACAGTGCTCCATTTTCCCTGTAAAAAGTGTGAATTGGCCTGTTGTACAAATGAAGCATTGATTTGTGGTCCTGATAAGATCTAAAATATTAGTACTATACAGATAATAGTAACGTCTGAAAGAGAGAAAATAATTTTGTTAACCTAAAATACAGGATTTTCCTTTCTCTTTTTTTTTCCCTTGTCTTTTTGTGGGTCACTTAACAAAACTGGTTTTCCTGACAATGCTTACACGGAGATGGGGTACCAGGCATTGTGCACAGTGGAGCAGATAGTTCTCTGGAGCAAAGCAGATTCTGCACATTTTCTTAAGCATCTGAGCAGTATGCTGTCACTGCCACATTGCAAAAGTAGGACTTTGCTTTTGGCTGAAGCTTAGTCCCTCAGGACCCTTTCTTTCCCACTGAAAACGTGCTGATGGCATTGCTTCAAACTGAGAAGCCCAAGAGGTCAGATAAGATCTCAGAGCTGGTGGAAGCCAGACTTTTCTCTTTTGAGGAGATGCAGAATAACTTTTTGTTGTACTTCATAGTTCTGTCTGTGGTATGACTTTTATTAGCCAGTTTGGTGATTGTCTGTAAGTTTTTTTCATCCCAAAGTGTCTTATTGGACTCGTGATGATAGTTAAGCTCTGTGTTACTGAGAAGGGGATAGAGAGATGAATGTCCTTTGAGAGAAGAAAAGGGTTTTGCCCTACATTAACCCCTGCACTTAATAAAGTGTTCCAGAAAGGAGCTTTATCTCATAGCTTGTAGCCAGAAGGGCAGAGTAATCTTGATTATAGATATAAGACAAGGAAAAACTACAGGTGCTGTGAAGCTGGTGATCAATACTAGAAATCCAAAGGATCCTCTGAGGAAAGAAATAGAAAACAGATGTTTCTTTTGGCAGCTCCAAGTTTCCTTAAAAAGATCAATTTGAATTAAGATGCTTTTTACAGACATCCTTGTGAAAGTAGTTTTTTCAGTGCAGCAATGTCTTTACCTGCTTGAATTTATTGCTATGCTAGGAAAAAAGCATAGTAGGTAGTGGGAGGCATACAAAAGTTAGTCCTTTCAACCTTCTTAAAAGCAATCAATCTATTTGAAAGCAGTGAAGGGAAGAGGAGGCTTTTTTCCTTCAACTGGAAAGCAGTTACCCACACCGCTATCAAGACTCTTTCTTAGCTGAAAAGAACATAATGTGATTACAATCCGTTTTGCTTATCGGTCACAGAAGAGAGGAGGAGTGAGGAAGGAGAGTGGCAGATTATGCTGTAATGGCACATGCCTGGAAGCTTAGTTGTAGTAATCTTTTGCAGTAGTTACCTTCAGTCTGCAAAGCAGCTAGAACTTGAGTGCTAAATAAAATAGGTATCTGTATTTTTAACCACAATAACTTAACTGCAGTATCAACAAAGTTGGAGCATGTCTGTGTTGCTGCAAGCTTCTCTCTCTCATGTCATTCATTATTGGTGTAAAAGGTGAACTTTTATAAATATGAACCCCTTTTGTTTAATCAGGCTGTTAGAGATTTTTTTTGCTTTAATATAATGGAGAGGAGCTCATTGAGGAAACTGTACTAACGTGTCTGTTGTGCTGCTTCTGACTAGCCTCCCATAGTACCGAAAGTATCCAATGATGGGGATACTTCCAATTTTGAAGCTTATCCTGAAGATGACTGGAACAAGATGCCTCCAGTACCCCCTAAAGATCTAGAAATTTTCAAGAACTTCTGAATGTGACATGTACACTGGCCGAGGTATGTCCTAATGTCAGGAGTCATCTTCAAAACACTGCAGGTCTTGTGAGTGAGAGCTGTATGCAGAAATCACATAATCTGATTCGTAACAGTGATTAATACTTCCTTACAGCTTGTAAAACCAACATGAATCACTGCAATAGATAGTATAATTAGACTGTTGAAATAAAATATTGTAAAGCGGGCTTACAGAATGACAAAGATAATTTGTCTTGCAGGCTTTGGTATTCTACAGTGATGAGGAGTTATTTGAATACAGATATTTAAGTCCTTCTGTCCTTAAAACTTTTTAAATGGTGTGTTAAAAGCAAACATCTAGATTGATTTGAGAGATAAGGAAATGTGATTGTTCTTGATTGCAATACTTTTATATTCAGAATGAAGACTTTAGTTAGAGGAGTAAGATTGTCGGATTAATTATGTACTCTGGATTCTGTCTTACAACTGTGATAGGTTGATACTTGTTACTCACTTTACATGCTCCACGTTGTATTTTTGTGTTCCTTTTTCATTATTTTTTGTCTTAGAAACTGGAAGGAAATTGAAGTACTAAGAGCAAGTCTGAAGAAAAATGGAGTTCATACGTAAATGAAGACTTTCTATGTGGATAAGAATGATACTGCATTCAGATACGTGTATTAGTATATAGTAAATATCTAAAGAGTTGGAGGCAGGCAAGAATAATTTTTGCTGTAAACATTTGACATCAGTAAATTGTAATATTGATAGTCTACTCTGAAGTAGACTTACTAAAATGGTATATTTTAGGATTATTTTTTTTAACTTATGGTTTAGTTAAGTTTCCTGCTATTCCCAGATCCTTTTTGCATAGTCAACTCATAGACTTAATTTTATAAGTTTATACTAAACTTGTGTAATTAAAAGCACAAATTAGTATATATGTATATAATGAATACAATACAACTAAAGCACAGGAACTGTGCAAAGATGTAAATTTTTGTACTTTGCAGAGTCTATGATTTTTATTTTTCGAATAATGTTTTTCAAGAAGTTCTCTAGGAAAAAAATCTTAAAAGGATAAATGAGTTTTTCATCATCTTATATACATTTTATAATTCTTTGTAAAAAATAAAAATAATTAAGTTTTAAAAAAGATTTGTACCTAAAATTTCCAATGCCTCACACTTGCAACCATAGTACTTGAAAGCAGAAAGACAAGGGCATGTTTTATTGTTGATTAAGATGCATCTTAATGGCTGATTTATGAAGTTCTGTTACAGTAATGTCTCTTTACAAACTAGGATATTGAGTGATTATACACTGTCTGAAATGAGATTCCTCACATGAAGACTCTCTGTAAACATGCAATTCAGTGCATTCTGATAAAAGGGTTCTAGCTGGCTCTTGCAGGAGTTGTTCTCTTTCAAGCTTCTCCTCTTCTCCAAACGTAAAGCATGAGCCATAACAGACTTGTTTCATTATTGAAATAGTTGTTGAATGCTTGGTGCTTCAGAATGTCAGAGGGAAGACTATATATATATTAGAGCCTGATTTTTATGCTCCTGCTTTTGGAAATGTCCTAACGTCTCTGCTGCCAGGAATTCCCTAAGTACAGAGTTCAAACCTTAGATGTAAGGAGTCTTTTTTTTTTCATCCTGTACTAACATCTTTCTAGCAGCTTGAATACAGTGAATTTAGGAAATATTTGCAATGCTGCTTCATTTTAAGTAGCACCAAATTTCAGTATGTGCATATATATGTATCTATGTTTATAAATACACATAAACATGAAGGTAGATTGTATACAAGTCAGGATCTTTTTAGGGCTTTTTCATGTTCCATATCGTGCTACTTGTGTTAATATAGGGGAATTGATTTTGAAGTGCTTCGATTTCAAAAAGTAAATACATTCTTTCAGATATTGTGGGTTTAAATAACTTTTAGTGAGATTTTGATATTTAGACCAAAAATACTTTTTTTTTTTCCAAAAAAACTCACTGGAGTACCACTACTATGACTGATGGCCCTTCATAAAACTGTTTAAGTAGGTCCTACAAGCTGCTCTCTACATTTTTGATCTGAAATGCCATAAGAAGTGTAGGCCTAAGAGACATTTTTCTGAACTAAATCCTGAGTGCTTATGAAGTAGACATTCTAGTAATCGCTAATGAAATACGGTGTTTATCATTTTATGACAGATGTGCAGCTGGAGTCTCCTCACAGAAAAGTGATCTCTGTTTTCTTTTGTTTAGCCCTAACAGTACAGAAGTGCTGTTGAGAACTTACAATTTCTAGGGTATTATATCTATGTATTCATAAAGAAAATCTAACTTTAAGAGATTGCATAACTTTTTGTGAAAATGCACAATGCGTAAGGAAATCAGGATACTTCAAAGTGGTAAATCTGCAATATCACAAAGTCTTCTTGATGTTATGCAAGTGACACAAGTTGATGGCCCCAGCTGCCACTGTGTAGGAATTTAAAATGAAATACAGGAAAATCCGTAGAAAATGATCATTTTAACTGGGTAAAAATACATTATTTTCTTGAAAGAAATAATCTAATACACTGTATTTGTATCTGTGGATTTAGTTACTCCAAATCAATCAAGGGGAAGAATGAAGCACATAAAACACAGTTTACTTTGTCTAAGGGGAGGAAGCACAGTTCAGGGTTTTCTTAATGTGTAAGCTTGCAGTGTTTTATGGAATCTGAGTACTACAAAACCAGTTGTTTATTTAAAAATGTACATATGGCAAGAAGCAAGTGTGCTAAATATAATTTTTTTTTTTTTTTCAAATTTAAAAACTGCACTGTGTTTAAGTCTTCAAAGCTGAGGAAATGAAGTTGCGTTTGACTAATGTGCCACGTTGGTGGTTAGAAGTTTTGAATGCTTGAACAACAGGAGATAGTGGCTTTTCTTTTTATGAATCTTATCCATTGCTGGCAGTGGATGCACTGACACTCATTATGATAGAGACTAAAGAAACAAATACAATCTTACTAACAATGCTAATCCATTGACTTTACATTGTTTCCAGAGCCATGTGTACATACACCTAACTACTGACCTCGTCAACAAGCTTTCTAGTACAAAACTACTTGCAAATTTTTTCAATTTTTTTAAATTAAAATCCTTAACTAAAAAACAAAAAACCAAACCATTTTTTAAGCATTATTTTAAGTGATCAGTTGTTTTCTCTACAGTCGTGGACTTGATGAGCTGTTATTACCTGCCCATTTTATTTATTTGCACAAGTGAGTCTGTTTTATTGTAAGTCTTTGCTGGGACTTCATGGCCCACTAACACAGTTCTGCCTGAATGCTCATGCAGAAGTCCCCAGATGCACACTGCACTAAGGACTCTGGATTTATATGTGTTTTTTTTTAAGTAGACTAGAACACTTTTTATTTTCTATTAAAGTATAGTATTCTCTGAAGTTCATTTTATTATGGTTGCTTCTGTTAACATGTGTTTTTTGCATATAGACTGTTGCATAAGGACTGTTTTCTTGCAAGAGCCCATAGGCCTTTGGTATTCTGCTTCAGTGAACAAGAATGTTAAACATTAAAAACAACATTTATTTTTGAGTTTTTTATATATATATATTTTAATTGCCCAATTTGAGGTTTTAAGTGATAAACGTGCATTGTAAACTCAATTGCCTTGTAACCAAATGATATAAATGCTTCATGATTTCAATGGAGAACACGCTGTAGATTTTCCTGTAAATTAGCTTGATCAATGAATATGTGTGCTACTGAGCTTTAACTAATGTGATCTTCCACTGTAGAAAGTCATTGTTAATTGATGAAAATATAGGTACTAAACTATGTTTAAATGGATGAACAGGGATTTTGCAGTTTTGAAAGCAATTAAGATATGGCTGTTCCTCAGCCCATCTGCTTGCCATTCAGAAGAGTTGTGATGCAGTGCTTCCTATGCTATAGAATTCTTTTTCAGCTTTCAATGACTGTAGCATGATTCCTTTTTGTACTGTACTGTGTACAGACTTTCCATGTTTTGCACTTTTCTATGGCAAACCTTGACTGCTTTATAAATACTCTGTTGTGTAGTAAGTAGTGATAGTGGTCGCAGGCATGTGTACTGCATAACTGGTTTGAACTGCTAGACTTGCGAGATTAACTTGGACGAACGTTGTATGTTGCTGGTTGCTTGTTGTAGCTCACATGCATAAGTACTGTTCAAAGTTACAAAGTCAGCCCTCATTGCACAATGAAAATCACTGTGATCTGTACATAAACCCTAGTAAAATTTTATTGCTGTTTAATTTATGTAATACCTGTCAAATCTGGATTCATTTAATAAACCTTTATATCTTTTTAAATGTTTAAATCTAGTTTGCTTCCATTTATGTTGGGAGGAGGTGGCGGTTCTCCATCCAAAAAAAAGATGAAGGGGAGAAGAAAAGAGTAGAAAAACAACTGTTCCTTCTCTTTGGAAGTTAAGCCTTTCCAGAGTAAGACACAAGTGGTGGAACATATTTCAGTTGGTGTGGAAGAAGTACCAAAAAATACATTTTTCAAATTCATGTCAGGTAATGCACTGGTAATGAAAAGTGTTAATTCAGACCTTTCCTTAAACTTGATTATATGACCCTAATTGCATCAGTATTTTCACAACTTAATGACCAGAACACTGTCCCAAACACTCATTTCAATCTGTTTCTTTAAATCAACAAAAAATATGATGTCAGGCACACATAACTAAACCTTTTTTTGATCTTCTATTAAGAACTCCAGAAGTCCATTTTAACAAAATTCAGTTAGCTGTTGGTGTTAAATTACTACTTCTGGCTCAATTGTACTTTATTTCTTACCCACTAGCTAGCTTAATCTTGCAGAGATAATTACATAGGCATAGAACCAACTAGATACGGTTTGGACTAGTTAAGGGTTGGTTTTTTAATGCAGAACTTTGTGTTTCTTTCTGCCTGGCTTAATTCTGTTGTGCATTGACTTTTTCTTTTAAACCAGTATGTCATGTGCTTCAAGGAACTGCTAATGGAAAGTGAAGGAACATTGCAATAAGCTCTGGCAAGCTTTTAGTCATGTCTTTGACATGAATCAAAAGAACTGCTCAGTTAAAACCTACCAAATTTTTGAATGTTTGCAGGTGTCCAGGGTGTGTGTAAAGAATTTCGTTTGGCATCTTGTTCTTACCCCAGCCATTTGCCATGTGAGAGTTTTTGTTCATTTTTTCTAACCTGAGTACTGTATCTTTTTTGATGTAGCACAAATAGCTCCGGATCTTACCCAACAAAAGGCCATTTTAAATATGCCTTTTCACTTATGCAGGGCACATAAGTTTTGCTGATAGCGTAACTTTGTCTGGACCATACTCTCAGCATTACTCACTGCTCCCAAATGTGTCTCACTCCATGGTTCATTAGCCCTTTTTACTGCAAAACACAAAACAGCATTTAAGAAGAACCCACCCTTCTGTGACCTACTGTTACCCAGTAAGAGTATGATATTACAAGAAATGGTTGAAAGCAACTGGCACTACTGCAGTTCTGGATCTTGCCTAGTGCTTTGTGGATTGGTATGTAATTCACATATTGAGTTCTTCCTTGTGTGAAGTCCTGCTAGCTGCTACAATCTTAGAATCATAGAATCTTTGGGATGGAAGAGACCTTTTAAGGTCATCTTGTCCACCCCCCCTGCCATGAGCAGGGACATCTGCAACTAGGTCAGGTTGCTCAGAGCCCCGTCCAACCTGACCTTGAATGTTGCCAGGGATGGGGCATCTACCACCTCTCTGGGCAACCTGTGCCAGTGTTCCACCACCCTCAGTGAAAAATTTCTTCCTTAGATGTAGTCAAAATTTACCCACTTTTAGTTTAAAACCATTACCCCTTCTCCTACTGCACCAGGCCCTGCTAAAAAGACTGTCCCCATCTTTTTTATAAGCTCCTTTTAAGTACTGGAAAGCTGCAAGAAGGTCTCCCCGGAGCCTTCTCTTTTCCAGGATGAACAAC